GCCGATACCGAGTACCGATACCAATATTTTTATTGCATTTGTAAATTTTTAAAATATTGGGTACAGAAACCAAAAGAGTAGTATAATGTTAGTTGGTTAACTTCATTTATCAAATAGATACAGTCAAACCAAAATTTATTCAGACACCTTCAACATTTCTCACATTATCACAGTTTATTCACTATAGTTTAGAAAATGGTAATAAATATGACAAGAACTCAGAGTTCGGTATCGGTACATCCCTAATAATAAGACTGAACATTTATGACATGCCATTAAAACAAAACTACTGACAAGCCTACATCAGACCCTGATGCTTCAGCAACAACACTCACCATTCTGGTCCGAAGTTAAGTGTCTGGGTTTCTGCCATTTTCCTTGAAAGTCTGAAGAAAATTAAAGACTCTTAACAGCTCAGCACAAAAACATAAATCGACTTCAGTAAAAAAAAAAAAAAACCGCAATAACACTGAAAATGCCATTTATGGTTTACATGCGTGCATACAGGATTGTACATTTAACTACTGGTGCATGTTTAAAAAGTGAAAATGTCAATCACAAATGACAATTTGACTTAGTTAAATGCATGCAATTTACTGAAAATCAGTTCATGATGTGAGAACTACACCTACACACTTTGAAAAAGAGGACAAATTATAAAAAATAACAAAACCTAACACACAAGGCATCAATGCTGAACTCTGCACTGGTACATCTCAAGATGTCCAAAAAAATAACATGTCCATAACTTTCTACTTTTTGGGACATCCCCTTTGATTTGCGATTGCAAATACAGACGCCCAATGCAAATACTCGCTAACGCTTATGAAAACACACAGGCGGATCAATTCCCAAAAACATAAATGAAGCTATCAGAGCAACCATATATTTTCAAATTAACACCTTCACAAAGCATGTGCATGATTTATTCAGTTTTAAAGTCCCAGGCAAGTATAATTACATATATACACAGTGCGACAAGTAAACCAACAAGTTTTCATATGTCTTTACAGCGGTGACATTGGCAGTAATGTATTTTTTCCAGCATATTCTAGAGGTGACCCCCATTTGTTCGGCACCTCTACTGTGACAAGAGCTATTTTAGGAACTCTCCCAATTAGGAAGGGCATTCTCAGACATCTGTGCAACCCACAGCTTCCCTTGCCCACTATGTAATGCAACTAACTTTTTTCAAACTTGATTTGAACCAATTTTTACATAACGCATATTGCAGAGGCATCTTGTCAGACCTGTCAAACAAGATGCATTTAACCTCAAGGGAAAAGGAGAGATCTTTACATTTTATTTGTGTCTTATTATTATATATTCTCTTCACAGCCACATTATGTAGACGGCATAATGTCTATGCAAAACAAACAGGAGTGACTTGCTGCTGCAGGGATTTAAACCACGTGCGCAGCCAAATGAGGCAATCCGATCCAGATTACACAAACTCCCCATCAAAAAATAAAAATAGTAACCAAACATATTTTACGTGCATATAAAAGTCACTTTAATCAGTTTATCTGAAAGAAACCCACCAAATCATGCAATTATAAGGTTGCATCAGCCAGGTTACAAACAGGCATGCACAGTTCAAGTATTTGTTTAACACCAGTCAGGCAGGGAAAAAGGCAGCAGTTGAACACAAAACCTAAGTAAATAAAGCTAGTTTTGGTTGAAAACAGATGATCAACAGATTGCAGTGTTTGCACAATTAGCATTGTACAGCCTGTTTTGAAATTTCAGATTTAATACGCATTAAATTATCGATTTTTACCGCTGTAATATGTGGAACGATGCATTTGTGATCTTTTAGAGGCGATCAGAAGCTCAGAAAAGACACTTGTAGGTAAACTGTCAACATCAGACGTGGCTTGTCCAGTCAAGAAGGTTAGTTTAAGTGACCATGTGTAATTGATCTGTGTCGTGACTCGTGACCCAACATGTTTTTATTCCCGCAAACCTCAAAAGTAAAGACCGATAAATGTCAGTTTAAGGTTCCAATGACCACGTCCCTGTCGGTCCATGCCTTCATACACCCTGTAAGCACTGCAGTCTACAAGCTAGATGAAGAAAGCACCAATAAATCCGTTTAGATGTCATATGAACTAACGTTACTGAATTGACCGCTGCAGTTGCCATGTAACGTTACCCGTTTAAAGAAGAGTTTTATAAAGGTGAAATATCCTAGCCTGGCTATCGCTGGACATTTAACTTTCTGACTTCCAACTCCTAAATTACCAACTTTAAACCAGCCCACGCAACGCCGCGAAATGTACGAACCGTCAAATAGTGTCGGTATAAATGCCGACAGGAGCACATCGAAGTAAGGGTGAGAGTGAGTTGACACGAGTTTTAATCCGTGCGGCCTGTGCTCACTGTCTCCAGCCACACCGCGTTCCACTACAACTGCCTACGGATCGCTGATAGCATCATCAGCGGTAGGCCGGTCTAATCCAGCCCGGTGCTTCCAGGCCTAACAACCATGCGGGCTAGAATAGCGTCGGCCCGCTAAATTGGGGCGGGTCTATGTTACTGAGAGTTAGCGTAGGAATAGTTCAGTTTTATTTTAGAGCAAAACCATGTACGCCGGGCCCGCTGTCTTACCTCTGCTTTTACTGACAGCGCTGAGTTTGTGTGCGAGTGGCGTCTCTCGTTTCGTATCCACAAGATGGCTGAATCTGGGTCACATGACAACACGTATGCTGAAAATTGCCCGGATGAGAGCGAGCGTGCTGACAGCAGCAGTTCCCAAGCGCACACTGCAAATGGTACTTTTACATGAACAATTGTATGAACTACACAAATCTGTCAATCGTTACATTTGCCATTTTCTCACGTTTTTCTTTTTAATTAGTGGGTTTTTGTTTTTTTTTAATAAATGAACATTCACATTAGTCTTCCCTAGAATTAGGCTATTTACATACATTTATTTGACTACTTTAAATAAATAAAAAATGTGCACATTTTTATTCCATATTTTTTATAAATAGCCTATTCATATTAATAGCCTATATAGTTGCTCTTGTATTTTTTTTCCATATTCATATTAATAAACTACATGTTTATGTAGGCTAGCCTATTTTGTTTTGAGTTGTTGTTCTTTAAAAGCCTCAAAGACTAAAACCTCACCCAAATCTTAGCCCTAATCCTTAATGACCAGTTTTGAATTTTTTTTTTAAGTGAATATGATTATCTGTTACATCACTAAAGGAGGTTTTGTGGGATTTAAACAAACCTCTGGTAATTTTTTAAACAATGTTATGTCATGTCATGTCATGTTATGTCATGTTATGTTATGTTATGCAATTTGTTCCCCAAAAGTAGCTAGGCCTGTTGCTAGGTTATCAAACATACATATATGCAGTACAATAAAGGTATTAATAGGAAGTGAAGTTGTCTTGTTTACACTGTTTCTTTTTCAACAGTTTTGAGTTTTATTCTAAATGAGTAAAAAAGTACCCTGCTGGAATGCAATTTACAAAGCAGCCGTTTCTTTGATCTAAGTAGTCATTAATTAGCAATAAAATTAACAAAACAATTACATTTGGCATTTTTGCTGTACAAATATTTTGTTTATGCTATTCTATGCATTTAAGATGTTAAACTTGATTTATTTTTGTCTGCCAAACAAGAAAACAGCATAATATTAAATCATGATTGATTATTTAATCAGTAAACATCATAATTCTTTTTCTCTCTTCTTCTAGAGCATCGACGAATGGAGATATCGCCCTAACTCTAATCCTAACCCGCTATCATCTACATCTAATCGCAAGCACACGAACAGACAAACGCTGTTTCATGAAACAATGTAATTCTGAGAAATGACATCCCAGAATATTGCACTTTAAAGTATCTATACTGTGTGTGGGTTATGTGCTGCCCCTGAAACAGTCAAAACAAAAAGGAAACAATCTCTATTTCCTCTGAATTGTAATGTGATCCTCTTTGCCTCCAATACAAGTGAAGACTTGTGTTCATATGACTGTTTTTCACTGTTTATATGTTGCCTGATAATTGCCTGTAAATCCATCTTTTGCTTTGTTTTTTTTGGTCTTTTAGTGAACTTATTTTAACACAGCATTATTTATAAAACATTTTCTGGCAGAAAACTTAAATCAATAAAAAAAAGATAATTATATATTTTTTAAATAATCATTTTTTTTTTCTAATTAAAATTTGAGGTTAAATCTTTTATACAGATTAATGTATAAGGAAAGTGTACACTGAAAAATGTTATGTAATTAGTCTATAAAAAATATATTAAATAAAATTTAAACAAAATCTAAATATTCTATATATTTTTATAAATGTAGATAGATTACTGTATAAGGAAAGTGTACACTGAAAAATGTTATTATGTAATCTATTTTGAAAAAAATACATTAAATAATATTAAAATGAAAAACATTTCTAAATATATCTAAATATTCTCAAAATGACAAACTTATTTGAGAAGCAACACTTTATAGGAGATTGAATTATATTTAGCTTTATATCTAATGCAGTATTAAATCATAAGTACATACGGTTTTAAAACTTTTTAGATTTTTAATTGTTAAATTAAGACTCATTAAGAACTTTTTTTGTTTGTTTTTGCCGTGTATATCTGTAACTGGCCACTTTTTGTACTTTTTTCAACATTTTAATCACGTCTTCATTTTAAATGCTCCTGTTAGTGTGATATGCATTTTAAAAGTACAAATAACCTTGCCGTTAATTTGAGCTCACAATAGCCGCATACATCATACTTGTAAATTAACTAGTAAAATGCTTTTTAAAATAGATTCAGATGAAGTACAGTATGCCACACACCGCAGGGTGTGTTAACTTCCCAAAATGTATTTCATGTCAGCTATACCCATCTATTCGAGCTGTGATTATACTGACTAAGAGAAAATGAAGTAGCCTACTTACGGGCTAACAGGAAGATATCAGACTAGTACCAAAGGCATGTTTCTGTTTGCAAGGATGTGGTCACAGGCAGAACCTCTGAAAACAGAAGTGCTACTAACTAGTTTTCTTGATAGCATTTAAGGGAAAGTATCTCTTGTGAGACACGTCCTGGTGAGCAGAGACACTCCTTATTTCATTTAATGCAATCATTTTGTGTGTGTGTGTGTGTGTGTGTGTGTGTGTTTTAGGTCATGTATATATATACATATACATATATTTCAGTAAATGTATTCTCTCTTCCACTAAGTTTCAGTGATAGAAAATTGCTTGCAGCTTCATTGAAATGTTGTGTGTAAAAATATTATGGCTGTATGATTAGTAATATAAGTACTGTGTAAATAGCACTGTTGTGATTTGTAGTGTACAGGTGGGACATCATTTCATTCATGAGACTAATGATGATTTTTGCAGACCAGACATGGTTTCGTGAGAGATGCAGCCCACATGTCTGAAAAAGGGAAAGACTGTGGTTTATTGACATGCGTCTCGAAATATGTAGAAGTAGATGAAATGTCGAAGAGGTTTAGCTTTGGCATAAGTGGGAAGCTTAAATATTGTCTGTACTTCATAGATAATGCAGGAAGAAAAAAAGGCATCCGCCAGTTTGTCCTGCTTAGGTCACATTTAACGGTTTTTGTTCTTGTGGTTTATTGGTTTGCAAAAAAATGGCTGATCTTTGGCTGCAGAGGTACAACCTTTACAACTCGGCTAATTTGTATGGGTGTTGTGAGATGAAAGCAGGTTGTTTTGTGTGTGTGAGTGTGTAAGCATGTGTTTGTCAGAATGTGTGAATGTGTCCGATATCGGAGGTATTTGGTAATTTCATTGTTACACAGTCACCATTTCCTTTCAATTTTTTTTTTACGGTCATATTATGTTTCTTAACAAAGATTTACTTCATGAGTGCACTACCACGGAAAACTACCACCAGTTTCAGTCTAGGAGAAATGATACTTTGAAGTCATCGGCAAAGGTAAGAATATACTGATAAACTAAAGAGCGGCAAAAATTATACACAGAACAATTGAATGAACTACAAAAAAACTGTCAATCATTACATTTGTCAATTTCTAATTTTTGTCTTTTAAATTACTGTATTTTTAAACAATAAATGAACATTCACATTACCCTTCTTAATATTTACATAAATATATTTTACTATAATAATTACAATAAATAAAACAAATGTGCAAATTGCATCAGTGATGAATTTTAGACTGTAATGACAAAGCATGAGAGAATTTTAATCTTGGTGCAAAGTGCTTGATGCAATTGATTATAGTAAGTTCTATTTATTAATCTTGCTAATATTTGACTTCAATATGAAACAAGAGTGCATGAGAGTTTTTATTTATTAAACTTTGCCTCATTTTTTGGCAGCTGGAATGATCAAAAAAAAAGTTTAACCATAAACTGAAGGGTTTATCATACAGAGTAAATACATGCTGATCATCAGCAAATCAACATCATGTTCATTTTTTAAATAAGTGGAAACTTGTTCGAAATGAGAACAATAGAAACTTGCCCTGTAAAATGTTTGATGTGTCCGAAGTCGCATGAAACATCATAATTAAAAAAATGAGCTTCAAGTCATCCGGTACTTTCTACATGCAGCTTCCTTTTGCCTTATTAACAAAAACAATTCCTTTACAATTTTTTATTTTTATTTTAGAAAGAAAATGTGCAGTTCCTTGATTGAAAATCTGTGCAAGGCCGTTTTAATGCATATAGAAAACAGACCTAGCATGTTGCATTCAAAACATCCACAATTTGTTTTAAGTTGCTCTGTTTTGAAATCTAATATAAACACATTAACTGTTGCATCAACAAGTGAAAACACAAAGTATAACACTGATGACTGTGCATGTGATATGCAAATTTCAGTTGTGAAAGTTAGAAATCTCATGAAAACGTATGTGATGTATTTCGCACCTCTCTCCATGCCAGTTTCACTATGACGAACTGCTCAACTAAAGATGTGGACACTTTAACGCAGAAGCTGGACTTGGTGATTTACGTGCCTGTCCTGGTGTTCGGCTTGGCGTTAAACATCGCAGCATTGGTGGTGTTCTGTCGACTGCTCAGAAAATGGACCGAGTCCTCCATCTACATGACCAACCTGGCTCTGATGGACCTGCTGTTGCTGCTGCAGTTGCCCTTCAAAATGCATGCAGCACACCACAAGTGGGCAGAAGACACAAAGCTCTTTTGCTCCTTCCTGGAAAGTCTTTACTTTGTAGCTATGTACGGTAGCATCTACACAATTGTGTGCATAGCCATAGACCGGTACATCGCCATAAACCACCCATTTCGGGCCAAGCAGGTGCGTTCCAAAAAAAATGCCTTGATTGTTTGCATTTTCATTTGGGTGTTTGTTATGGCAATGACTTCACCCATCTACACCTTCCGGGAAAAGAAAATGGGGAATTTCACCTGTTTCCATGGCTTCTCTAAGAATGGTTGGAGCACTGGAATAATCGTGTGCCTGGAGGTCTTTGGTTTCTTGTTGCCCGCCGCAGTACTGGTGGCGTGTTCCATTCAGAGCGTCCGTACTCTCAAAGCCTCAAAGAACAGCGACTACAAGAGGCAAGCTGGTGTGAGAATCATCTACAGCAGCCTAGCGGCCTTCCTAGTGCCCTTCACCCCCTGTCACGTGGCCATATTCCTGCAGTATCTTGTCCGTAATGGCTTTATTTCAGACTGCAAACAGCAAAAGAACATCGCGCTTTTCATACAGGTGTCAATAAACATTGCAAACGTGACCTGCTGCTTGGACGCACTGTGTTACTATTTCATTGCGAAAGAAGTCCGATCCACCAAGGAGACACTTAGACTGTCCATCAGCAGAGCGAGAACCACCAGCACCTCAGATGTCTGAGGTGAATTCAGTTTATTAGTCGTTCAGAATGTGTCCCTATGGATTTCCAGTGGAAGTAAAGATGTGGTCATACTAGCGAAATTTTGCGGTCGAAAAAAAGTCTATTGTCAATAGAGTAGCGACGTGTGAAGCACAGCTCACAAAAAAAGTAACTTTCAAACCCAACAGCCTTCTGTTGGTCAGCTCAGCAAATTGAACCCATTGCGAAATTGGCATGGGGAAATCTTTCACCCTCACACAAAATTCCAGATCGTGTGGATTCCTATTGAAATAACCTAATTTTACCCATGAAAATTCGCCAAACAACAGTAAATGTGACTGCACCTTAAGAGACTTCAGGGAAACATGTTGGACTGATTTTAAAGGTTCTTGAGGTTCAATGTGTGTTTTATGGGCATAAATGGACAAAAAATATTACTCCTCTCATTCCAGTTTAAGGTAGTTCACCCAAAATTGCAAATTCTGTCATCATTTACTCACCCTTAAGTCCAAAACTGCATGAGTTTGTTTCTTGCTTCTTTTTGAACATAAAATAAGATATTTTGAGAGATGAGAAGTTTTTATTTTAGCCATGCAAAGAAAGTCAGTGGGCTCCAATGATGTTTGGTTCCCAAAATACTTAAAAATATCATCTCTTGCGTTCAGTGTTGGGGGTAACGCATTTCAAGTAAGTTACGCGAGTTACGTAATCAGATTACTTTTTCAAGTAACTAGTAAAGTAACACATTACTTTTTAATTTACAAAAAAATAAAATAAAATCAGAAAATATACTTCAAATAATAATGCCAGTTACTTTGTTTTCACAAATATTGACTGACAGCTCTCCTGTTCTTATGTTGAGAGCAATCGGAAGTAAGTGCAGAGGTGTTGTGTGCACTGTGGAAACGATGTTACTGTAGTTCTAGACTGAATGTAAACATGCATGTATCTCACTTGCAGAAAAACAGAATCAGTATTCCCCAAAATGAATAAAAACAATGAAATGCAAACTCAGAATATGACACAAACCTGCATATATTAAATATGTTAAAGGGGTCATATGATGCGATTTCAATTTTTCCTTTCTCTTTGGAGTGTTACAAGCTCTTGGTGCATAAAGAAGATCTGTAAAGTTGCCACAAATATCCTTTATGCATTTAATCCCATTTTTTGAAACCAATGTCTTCGCTGCTGACCTTTGATGATCCAATTCAACCATACAAGAAAAAATGACTTTGGATAAACATAACATTTGTGTTTGCAGCATTGTAACATTTGCTACTGTACAGAGGTGAATTTACATTTCCTGTAGTCTGAGGCTTATTCATTGCCTTTCTGGTGTAAAAGGGCTTTTTACATTTGCCAAAAATAGAACTCTTTATATCAAAAACAAAAAAGCAAGCTCAGCTCAGATTTAAAAAGTAGCAAAAAGTAACGTAACGCATTCCTTTCCATAAAAAGAAATGAACATAATTAGTTACTTTTTTAGGGAAGAACGCAATATTGTAACGCATTACTTTTAAAAGTAACTTTCCCCAACACTGCTTGTACTCTGCAGAAGAAACTCGTACAGGTTTGGAACGACATGAGGGTGAGTAAATGATGACAGGTTTTCATTTTTTTTGATGGACTATCCATTTAACTCTACAAATTGTGACAAATATGAGAAGAAAAAGGGAATAGAACAGAAACTTTACCCTGATCTTCAGAACTGCACAATCCCAAAATTTGTCTGGATTGGAGTTTTAGATCAGGATCACCCAAATTTCACAAGACTTTAGACGTTAAATTAGCTAACTATCCTTCCTTAAAACCACATCCTTGACACCCAAAGCCATGAAAGCAAACACCCACAGAAAATGATAGCATCTGAGAGCATTTCTGATTGGCTAAAAATGGGTGGGCTGCTCCCCTGACCCATTTTTGCTGTTTTTGAGTTTAGGGCTATAAGAGAGACGGGTGTGATTTCTCAGGACTCCTATTTTAGAAAATTGGGACATTTTATGTTTTAGAATTTGAAAAACGTACAGGAATAATGTATTTTTGTAGGCCAAAACCTGGAAATGAAATTGAACACTTTACCACTTTCGGTTCCATCGTCCTGAAGTCAATGTTTTTTTTCTGAACAGGTTTTTTGGTTAAATAGATCTGTGGTTAACAAAAGCTTAAGATATTTTCACGCTATGACTTAAAATACATCAGTAATACACTGTGACTTTTTAAAGCTTTAACTTGTCTTGAAAAAGGCGGTTGGCTAAAGGAGAACAGAGGTGGTCCGGGACATTAAATGTCATCACGTCAAACAGGTAAACTCATCTACTCACTCTGCTTTTACAGGCTCACAGGAAAGGAAAATGTCTTTAAGTAAAGAATGAATGAGTTGTCTGAAGTATCGTGATGGTGAAGATGAAGTCATGCGACAGTGGTGTAGTTCATTTATAGCCTACATTTAGCTTTTTACTTCGGGTGATTGTATTCAGGATTCAGGCTTCAAAATTTCTAGAAGTTGTTCATTTGTGAAGATACTTATGATGAAAAAAACATGTAACAATGATAAGCTTTTGTTGGTCACAGAGCTTATTCTCCACAGTAACCCGGAAGTCCATGGAAAAATCGTATTGGGTTTATTGAGGAAACCAAGGCCTACAAAAATATGTCATCACTGCAGCGCTTTATTTAATGTTATTTTTATTCAAAATTAAATTGTGTCCGTCAAACTTACGATGAATTTATGATCCTGTGTTATGGATTTTGCCCCACAGATTCTGTATTTGTCTTATCTCATGCTAACACTGTCAACATGAGAAACCTGAGGTCTTCATGCTCACACGCGATGGTCGTCTGACAAACCATCCTGAAACCTTTACAATGACTCATAAATGTTTCTGATGCAACATTGGGTATGGCATTACATACTTCACAATTACCTCTTTTGTTCTGTATTTTGCCTCCTAAATCAGTATGTTAAAATATCTGTGTAGACTTGTCTCACCTGTTTTGTACCGTGTGTCAATAAAACTGTATATATTTTGAACAGATTCCCTTGAGTATGAGTTATGGCACCAATTTCCATAAGTTGTGGGTAAGAATGTGTGGGTACGGAGCCATGTGCCACTAGTTTCACTTAGTCAGACAGTGAGTGACTTCTCATATCTGGAATTCAGCTGTCTGTTTATATGATATATGAAGTGTGGCAACATCCTCTTTAGTTAAATAGAAGTACATGATTAACAGTTCTGAACACAAGGCAGGTTTTTTTTTTTTTTTGGGATGCACAAATGTGTTTTACTCTATCAGGCTGCACGTTTAGTGTAAAATAGAATAGAAAATAGAAAATAAAACCCCAACTGTGTTTTAAACCAACAGGAAAAGACTGGCGATCACATCAACACCTGCTTGTGGTGACATGCTGCGGTATATATGTTGTTGTTTAGTGCTACTGCCAGCTACTAAAATTTCTGCTACCTCTGATAGTAAATCACAATTTATAAATGAATAAAATGTGATAATGATAAAAGGACAAATAACACTGGGGGCCTCAAAAAAGCTATATAAATCAATCTGAACTACTTTCTCTCTAATAAAGTGCGTAGTTGCATTGTCTCCGCCGTGTTTGCTTAGTCTCTTTTAAACGGTTGCTCTTACTCTAAATCAACTACATTCTTGACCACATGGCTCTTGATGCACTTTAACCTCTGCTAGACCTTTTTTGAAGAAGCTTGAAAGGAACATTTTTGGACAGTTGTTGTAGGTTTATGTGGATCGTACAAACGTTTATTTTGTATCATCCCTCAATAATTATTACAATGGTTTGCCATGTGTTTGTAGGCTAGGCTAGTTCATCCTTTTTGTGGTATAGAATTAACATTTTTCCTTCTGTACCCAGCAGATGGCGCCAGAGTATCATCATATCTGAGATTTTTTTTTGGGGGGGAGATAAAAGTAATTTAGAGAGGACAGAGTAATGTAAGGGTAAAAGTGTGTATGAATGAGTGAATAAATGAATGAATGAATAAATAGCCTACAATTATTTTAAATGTAAATAACGTGTGCAATAGACTAATATATAAGTAATAATAACAATATAGTAATATAATGTGTAGTACGTAACGTAATAATAATTCATGCATATATGTGAGATAAAAGTAATTTAGAGAGGACAGAGTAATGTAAGGGTAAAAGTGTGTATGAATGAGTGAATAAATGAATAAATAGCCTACAATTATTTTAAATGTAAATAACGTGTGCAATAGACTAATATATAAGTAATAATAACAATATAGTAATATAATGTGTAGTACGTAACGTAATAATAATTCATGCATATATGTTGTTTTGTGGATTTTTTTAGGTTCACGTGTTTACATTTTAGTCCAATTTTGAACATCTTCGTTTCTGTCCCTCCCCTTTATTGGAAACTCAAATATATCTCCAAAAGTGAGACAGCACTAGCTGAATTTTTCATAATTGCCTTTTTAAAAGAAACACGAGACAGTTTATGAGATAGTAACTAATCTCAGGTAAGATATCCACGGTTGTGAATGATTATCATGATGGTATTTACATGGTACGTACTTCCAATATTACCATCGTGTTTCAATTATATATTTGTACTGTTTTCGTGTACTATTATTGTTTAGACACTCCGTTAGTTGTAAAATATATTTACCTGTAGTACAGAGTCGTTCACAAGCTGTAGCCTTCGTCATTCATACCCGTGCACGTGCGGAATTTAAAAACCTTTATCGCTGCCAAACGATAGAATTCATTTGCGGTTTGTCTGAATGGATTGTAGGGAAATATTCCCTTCACAACCCGCTATTATGCCCTCCGACTTCACCTGTTTTCTCACATTTTTACTGAGGAGAAACTCGATAAAAGAGGCTCGATAAGCCTGTGCAACATCGACCTCTAGATGGCGCCACGACATCAAAACTTTCCTGCAAGTGAGTTAACATGACAACTAGTAACAATAGCTGCAGTATACTGAAATGTGATGACACATACTATACATCTAAAACAATTAAAAACAGTGTTTGGTTAATTTATTGGAATTTATTCTTTGATAAATGTAATAAAACATATAAGTAAAAAAC